GGTGGCTGAGGATCTCTTGTAAAAAAGAGGAACGAAGATCATTACCGACAGTAAAGAATATACCGCAATTTCTAAAACGAGCTTTGACGGAGGTAAAAATATGCCCATCACTCCTGACGCAGCTTAGACCGAACACCTCTCATCAAGTTATATGTACATATATCACGACCGCGGCTTTTGGTACTTGAAAATGTTGATATTTCATTTACTTTTTTTTCCAAAAGAAGCTACTTTCTGTGTTTTCTAATTATGGGAAAAATTTAAAATTTCACGCCAAATAGCGAAAAAATATAAGTCAAATGTTATGATTCTTGGAACGTTCCACAAAATGGTTATATTGGGATTTTCAAAGCATTATTGAGAGCAACAAATGTGAAAAGGATGACATGATAGCAATTCCATAACTTTTTCTGCAAGACGAGCTCCTCAATCCTATGCTGCGGAGCAGCTGTAATACGAATTCAAGGCTTTCGAATCAGCTGATTAAGCTTTATATTATTGGAAAAATTATTTTAGTTCACCAGCTTTAAAAACAAGATTCTTTCTTACAATTTTAATTAGCAGTTAGTTTGTGGTATTAATGTGAAGACTTTAACCGTTTAAGTTAAGGCAATCACAATCTCAAAGTTCCAAATAAAAGTGTACAGTATTGGATGATTAATAGTCTCTAAACGCAACAAAAGTTATAAATTTGCGTAGGGCATGACAAAAAAATTTCAATCTCAAAATGTGAGAAACAAAAAAAATAACAATGTTCTATAGAAATAACAACGGTTCATTTAAAAATCCAATATGAGTATGAGCAGACGTAATTAGCAGCGTCTGAAAAGTGTTGGCTTCCGGCGTTTAGTAAAACCAATCAATTTTCATAATTGGCGGCTTAAAGTATATATGAGGTAACTAAATGGTAATAAAAAAAAATTGAAAACAAATGAAAAGAAAATTATCAAAAAAGTAAGCAAAAAAATTAAGAGTTAAAACAAAAATATACAAAATTAAAAAAATTTGTAGTTAAAATTTTAAAAATTAATTTTAAAAGTTAAAAAAAAATCAAAAATAATATACATACATATAGCGGTAGTTACAGATTCGTTTTGTATTTTTTTAATGATTTTTTATAGCTTTTGAAAAATATTTTCTATTGAATATGTGGTGATGTTAGTTCGGCGTGATGTTATTTATTTATATTAATTACAATATTGTACAGAAAACACTGTTGTAAAGCATATTTGAAATTTATATACATATGACAATATATAATAACAATATATAAAATAAAAACTAGACGAATACTTATGTAGTGAAGTGTCGCAAATTGAAAATAATTAAAGTTGAACGAATTTCCATTATTACGGATATTAAATTTTATTATATACAATATAGGGCTTTTTTAAATACTATGAATTTTTGATGAAAACAAAAATTTGTATCAAAAATTTTTTTAAAGAAAAAAACTTTTTGTGATCGTTTTGAGAGTGTTCAACTTCCCGCACAACAAAAGTCGTAAATAAGTAAAAAAGAATTAATTTCATTTTTTTAATCAAAGTTAATATTAAACAAGAAAAAACGTTAACTTCGGTTGCGCCGAAGCTATAATACCCTTCACAAATACAAAGGCCCCTTACAAGAACTTGATTCCGAACGTTCAATTTGTATGGCAGCTATATGATATAGTGATCTGATCTGACCAATTTCTGTGGAGAATAATTTGTTGCCTTAAGCAATAACTCGTGCCAAATTTTGTAAAGATACCTCGTCAAATGAAAGAGTTTTCCATACAAACACTTGATTCCGATTGTTCAGTTTGTATGGCAGCTATATGCTATAGTGGTCCGATATCGGCCGTTCCGACAAATGAGCAGCTTCTTAGTGAGAAAAGGACAGGTGCAAAATTTCAGATCGATAGCATAAAAACTGAGGGACTAGATTGTATATATACAGACAGACGGACAGACAGACAGAGGGACATGGCTAAATCAACTCAGCTCATCATGCTGATAATTTATGTATATATTTTATAGGGTCTCCGACGTTTCCTTCTGGGTGTTACAAACTTCGTGGCAAACTTAATATACCCTGTTCAGGGTATAAAAAAAGGTTATTATTTTTCCCAAACCCAAAAAGAAGTATCATAGCATAAAGACAAGCAATCAAGAGAATGGGTTTCGCCATTATCGATTGACTTTCAAATGGCAACAATTAATCACAAACGCTCACCAGCGGTGCAGGTGCAGCACGCTTCAACCTGATCAGTCGATTGAAGGCACAACAACAAAAGCAAAACATATTATAAATCACCAAAAAAATTAAAAAATAGTAATAATTGAATAGCACGAAAAGCGCACAGTAATGAAAGCAATGCAATAACAACAACAATCAAAATCATTAAAGCGCACAGCATTCGATGAAGAAATAAGTTCATTCGCCGCAAAATCATTACAAAAACAACAGTTTTTTTTTTCATTTTATTTTCGAAATTATTGCTATTGCTTTTGCATTCGCGACGGCTGAATGGGTGTATCGCATGATTGTTGGCAGCGGTAGCGGGGAAGGGGCGGACGTTGAGTGTTCAAGTGCGCGCGGCTAGAGTGCGCTATTGTTGCTGTAAATACGGGCGGTGCCCAAGTGGCCTTAACATTGTGCATTTGACTCTTTGTGTGGCAGTCAGCGAAATCATGAATAGAAAGATGAGGGGTGAATTATAAAGAAAATCAAGAAATTAAGCAAAAAGTAAAAACAAAAAAAATTCTTTGAAATTTGTTTTCATTCACCACTTTGTTTTCGCAATGAGCACTTTTTTGATTTCCAGCCTAAAACATGTTTTGCTAATCGAACGCAGGCGATTTGTTGTTGTAAGCAGCGCATAAAAAGCTGCAGCGGCAATCGCTGAGTGAAAGGTGTGGCAAGAGTAATGGCGCTGCTGCATGCCAAATGTGCGGAAATTTTCAAATAATTACAATCAATAAAATATTTAATTTATAAAACGTGCCGATCTCGATTTACGAAGAGAAATTAGTTGGAAGTTCGAAAGCGTCAACTCATTTCGGTGAAAAACTACGTACGGCGATTATTAGTTTTTAATATATGAATTTTTATTGCAACACTACTCAGAAATAGGTTACATTTATTGCTTTCGAATAGAAATGTTTGGAATAGAAAACATTTTGTTTTGTGTTGTATTTTTAAAATAAAAAAGAAAATTTTATATGAAAAACTTGATATTGATTGAAACAACTATACATAAGCATTGATTTTGTCAAGGACTCCCATCACCGATGCAAGTGATTATATTTCAGAAATTCCAATTTCGAAAGTTTTTTCTCTGAAGAGAATTGGCTGCTTTTCCAAAATGACTAAAAATGGTTCTACAAAATTTTTTTTTGATGTTTTAAAAAGTATTTTGTTTTTCAAAAGTTTCAAAGAAACTAGATAAATGAGATAAAACTGACGATTTCTTATGCAAATTCAGAGTATGTGATCTAAAAGTAGACCAGTACATATTAAATCTTAAAAATATTCCATATCGCCTAAAAGTTTTGTGAACCTTCTTCCATTAAGTGCTCAGCCTTATGGTTAATGCTGCCAAATATCTCATATACTGATACTCTCGAATATTTTATTCACCTTCTCATTATATTTATCTGGCGTTCAGCAGAGCTGTAGCAAATAAATATAGGTATTATTTTATATTCATTATTGTATTTACTTTATTGTATTGTTTGTATTTCCGTATTTACTTTATCGTCACTTTGATGCGCTACCAGTACTTTCCTTGTCTAAGTAATCAAAGCTCATGATTAAGCTGTTGCTGTCTGAAATATTGTGAAAATAAAGAGTTGGAAATTCGTAAAATAAAATAAACTTTACACCACTGTAAAGATGATGACAGTTTTAAAAATAAGATTAAGCTAGTTATAAAAGTTGTTTCAAGGAAGGTGAAATATTTGTGACAATACTTCTTTCTTGACTCCTCCTCCTTTGTGCTATAAAAGACAAAACGTCTTGACTCTCTCACCCTCAGCCATCCTGGAACCCTCACTAGTGGAATACAAGTAAAACGCCTAAATATGTTTTGTAATATTACATGAGATCCCACTAAAGGAAGTTTTGTGGTTTCACAAAGTTCTATCTTTCGGTGTTCATGTGCCATAAAACCCAATTTAACGTAACCTAAAATACAAGAAAACATATTGCATCGAGGTTTGTGCTCTAGCAAAGAGTTTTATAAAAGAGACCAAAAAAGCTCCGTGCATATTTTGCTTGCAATTTCGTTAATTTACCTATACTAAAGTTTTCAGTTTGAGTTATTCAATTGAACTGTATGTGAAGTTCGCTTTTTAAATATACGAGATACTTGCTTATTCTTCCGCTAAAGTTACTATCACAGTAGAAAGAGAGTAGAGCAGTAATTTTCCTACAAGGCTATTAGCTTTGCAATTTAAAATGATGTTTTTTCATTGAGTTACAAAATTCAAAAGGAATAAATTCGCCTAAAAATATTTAAACTTCAACCGTTAATAGCTTTTAAACGGTTAGGTTTACGAAAAAATCGTGTGAAACTATTTTGTAGAGTATTCAATTTGCTACAAAATCTATGAAACGAAAAATTTGGAGGCGAGAAAAAAAAGCGAATCGGTAGGCGGAGTACCTTCCTGTAACAATTAAGAGCTTATACTTGGAGAGCCTTACTTAGAGGTGTCTATCAACAAATTTTTCAGAGTAGAAAGCTAAAAAAAACATTGGGTTTTTTGATCCACCCTAAAAGCACACTTGCTTTATGTTTAATTATGTAAGTTCTTTGAGTTTCTCTGCACGCCTCAATTGCCTCTGGTTTGATGTTCACACTACATAAATGATTTGCACCCAAAGGTTTATTAAAAAGAAACTATATTTTATTTTTTATATAAAATCATACGCATTAAATAAATAACAAAATATTTATACGTGCACTATAAAAAACAATTACTCTGATTATATAATGAAAGCTGTTGTTTTTACAGATTCTTCTGTCACACTCCATGAGACGGTGAATCATTACACTTAAAAGGTATGTCTACTTTAATAATTTTTTCGAATTTGTTGAACCTTATGCTTTTTGCCATTCTCCATATTTCAAAGGAAATTCACACTAAACTGAATATGTACCGTTATTTTAGCATATTTGTATGCACCAAGTGCCCTATATCTATTATATTTACAAATTGTGTGCATAGCTGATGAAAACGTAAAAAAACACAGATTTTTAAGCACAAATATTTATCAACCTGAATTTCGACCGAAGAAAGCAATTTCACCCAAAATGTGTAAAAGTTACACAAAAAGTGGAATAAATTGAAATTCACGCTTTAATATGTGCCACAGGGTGTACGAACATTTAGTTGAGGTGTTGCATATGTAGGTGCTTACAAATATATATTTATGTATGTATGTATGTATGTATATACATAGGCTTTAATGTCTACCACCGCACGCCCGCTCGACTCTCGTGAGTTGTTGTCGAATGCCTTCGCACAAATTTATGGTAATTACAATTAAGTGGAAAAATTTCAATGGCCAGCAACAATGTAAACTGGCATGCCATAAATGAGAAGAGTATAAACAAAAGTGGAAATATGCCCAATTTCGTATGGGTGACTTGTACTACACGCCTGATCGTTCACACATACAAATACATACACATATATATACGCATACAAAATCATATATATATATATGTATGTGGAAAATAATTTATACAAATCAGGTCCCGAAAAAGTTGGCATTTCTCACGACTCGCGTGTACAACATGTCTATATGTTGCATGCCGCATACAAAATACATTTTTGACAGACACTTTGCTGGTGGACAGCACAACAAAACGACGGTGTTGTTGTTTATTTGTTGCTTTGTTTTTTTTTTGTGTTGTTTCGCTGTTGGTACTCGCTGTTGATAGTAAAAGTTATTGACATAGTTGTCGTGCATATGTATATGTATGTATGTTATTGTTATTGTTGTAACTTTCTTTTTTGTGACTGACAAGCGAACTGCATTTGAACAACTTTAAATGTTGTCCAACGCCCAGATAGCGACTTATGCGATTAGGCACGCATGTACATATACACTTACGCATACACAACATACATACATATGTACATATACAAATATTGCTACATATGTACATATCTACTAATTACAAAATTAAGCGCTCAAATTTCTTTTTGTGTTGTTGTTGTCTAATGCATTTGGTAGAAAAAATGCTGAAATTTCTTCAGATAAGCCCATGCGCACATAAAAACTTATGCATTAGTATACACATATACAAACAAAAAAAACAAAAAGTTAACTTCAGCTACATCAAAGCTATAATACCCTTCACCGTTAAATTTATATGGCAGCTATACTCTATAGTGGTCCGATCGAAACAATTTAACAAATTTCGTAAAGATATCTTGTCAAATACAAAATTTCTCCATAGAAAGGTCTGCTTTTGATCGGTCAGCTCGATATGCTATAGTGGTCCGATCTGAACAATTTGTTCGATAATTGTATCATTCTCTTGGATGAATATGTGTGTTGCATGATGCTATAGTGGTCCGATATCGGTTGTTCTGACAAATAAGTTTTAGTCAAGAAATCATTTTAGTTTGCCTCTTTGTCGAGGCTTCCTTCTAGGCGTTACAAACATCGTGTCAAACCTTATATACCCTGTTCAGTGTATACAAAAATACACTTATGTATGTATTGTATATTAAGACAATGGTAAAAGCTCAAAAGTTCAATAAAAACCGTAAAACTATAAGTGTCATAAAATTCTATAAACTATGAGCTGCGATAAGCGGGAGTGTGACACTCACACAGCATACATTTATTTTTTGTCTTTTCATTCGAAGTGCAACAAGCTAAAGGTCAGTGCAGTAAACATAAAGCTCTTTGTGCTTATAAAAAATTTGATGCGGAGACAATGTAAAAATACGTTTTGTTGTTGTCAATGCATGCTTTGGAAGCTCATTTTTGTGATGATGGCAATATCAAGTGCCTAAATATCTACAGTAAAAGCTGTATAGCACAGACAACACTTTGTTAATTACTATAATTATAATTTTGTCAAAGAATAGAAGAATAAAGATGTTTTCTCGAAACTAACAATATTATATTTATTGTTAAATAATTAAGAAAACAAATTTACAAATGCGAGTTTGTGGTTCTTTTGGATATAAAGTGAGCTGCGTTTTTCACTCTAAGTTTAGTTCACATGCTTGACTTGACTATGTAAAGTTGAGCCTAAGCCAAAGCTCTAATTTTTAGCTAGTATGCATTCAGAACCTGCAGTAAACTCATTTTTCAAAAAAGGAATATTTTTAACTAAAACCCATTGGGGATTTCGGGTTTAAGACATGAATTTTGCTAAAAATTCAAAATACCTTCTGTCTCATTATTTGTATATTTAAATATGATGATAACCTCTCTGCCATATTTCACTTGGTAATACTAAATTATATATACATACTAAATTATTTACACACATTTTGGCTAAAGTACTTCAAGAACATACTATAAACTTTTATGTGAATTCCAAGGTTCTTTAAATAAATATATAATATTTGTCTCTCGGTGTGATAAACATTATATGGTTTAAAATATTTTTGAAAAATGTTGCCTACATTTCGGAGTCATGCATAAAAACAAATGTGCGCCAAATAATGTTACTGGAATGCACTCAATTATGAACCTTACAGTATCATTGCTGGATTTTCGCCTGGCTTTGGCTTAGTTTCCCCTAATTTCTGTAAAATTTCACTTAGGGCCTTTTTAGGTTGTTCGGGGCCAACCTTCTCTGCACGGTTGACCTTAAATCTAGCTTCGAATTGAGTTTGAGATTTTCTGTTTATTTACATTCCAAACTCAAATTTTATTATTAGTCTCTTCCTTAACAATTTTGTTGCTATTATATTAGGCTGCGACTTTTTTTCTCATAATAGGCAAGCGCCAGTGTATAAAGTTCAAAAAATGAGTGTCCAGCATATTTAGATGTTGATGTATTTTTTTTTCACTATATCATTACTACTTTCATATAACTCTCTGAAAATTACTTATGGCTCGCGTGGTAATCATAAAATAGTGTAATGCTTAGTACACGTGGGGCTTTTTTTTAATATAAAATGTTATATTTTTAAAAGAAAATAATTTTATATAAATTTACAGCTTTTCAAAATTTTTTCAAAAAATTTTTAACATATAATAGATTAATAATATTGCTGTTATTTGGCATTTTAATTACTAAAAATATTTTCAACAAATAATTACAGTTCAAACGTCATATTTTTGTGATTCTACAAAAAAAAATTTCGACCCACTTAAGAATACGTTTTAAGTTCCTTATACTTAACAATAGTTAGAGCTGCTGAAATGACTTGCGAGTCTTGGTTCATGAATTCATGAATTTTGTCTTTAACATATTTTTTTATTGTAAATTACAAATTTATAAGCATTTAGAAACATTTTAATAATCTCTTTTATTTAAAAACATTTTGTTTAAAAAATAATAATTTTATAAGCTTCTAATGATTACTTGTTTAAAACAAATTTATAAACAAAAATAGCATTTAAAAAATGTAATTACGATTTTTATTTAAAAAATTATATTGCTTTATAGAAATTAAATTTATAAGCTTTAAAACTGACTATTCATCCAATATTTTTTTTTTTTATAAAAATATTGAAATTTTTATCTAATAAAAAACAAATCAAATAAGTTACTTTATTTAAAAAAAATATTGTTTAAAAAATTAATTTAATAAGCTTTTAAAATAATTGCTATATATTTTTTTTTAATTTAAAAAATGAATGGTTTTTTGAAAATCGCTTTTTGTTGTTGTTGATTTGAGTGAAAATTCTATGAAATGTAACCAAAAGAAATTTATCGATTATTCGCCACTCTTATGCATGCAACCATGCATTTTTACGCGCTCTACATATGTTTCTTTGCATATGCGAACAGAAAATAAAAAAAATACACTCCGTTATTTATGTTTTTATTTATTTTGTAACAGCGGTTGAGCTTTTATTGTCCCATGCGTAAATATTTGTTCGATCTTGCATGCGCTGAACGCAGTGAAAAGGAAAATGTGGCGCAGTTGAACAAACAACCAAACCAGAAGTAACATACAAACATGCTGTATATACATATATACATATATATAAATGCCTCGTACGCGCTGAGTTACAGTTATGTCTTTTATTTGATTTGCCAATGAAGCGCTTGCTGTTGCGTTCAATCCAGTTTAGTTTTGATTGCTGATTGATTTGTTGCGTCCGCGTCCGCGTCCACGTTTGCGTTTGTTTTTCTTTTTGTTGTAAGCACGGAATTCAATTTACGATGCATCACTTGCAGCGATACTCAAATAAATATTCCAATTTCCTAAAAAATCAACCAATCGCCTATTTACATGCAATCGCTCGCGGCGGTTTCTAGGCTGTGCTGCATGTGAATGTGGCTGTGTGTGTGTGTGCCCGCTTGTTTGTATATGTGTGTGTGTCGGTGCCTGGTGTATTGCAGCGTAAACTTTCACTGATTGCCGCCACAAGCAAAGCAATAATTGTAATATCAACCACAACAATTTCGGCCTGACCGCCGCACACCCACCACCGCGGCGCCAACAACTTCAACATGTTGCAACCAGCTGCTGCAGTTTACAAAAATACAGAAAAAAAACTTGGGAAATCTCCTCTATACCGAGCGTGTAGAATTTTGCGTGTTTTGGCTTTGCAATTGATTGATTTTGACGGCCACATATTCATGTGTGTTTGTGCATAATGGCACATTTCATAGTTTACAAGCTCATGCTGGCAAATTTGAACAAATGCACGCAGACATGCAAACACATATAGTATGTATGTATATGTGTGGGTTTTTCGGCAAACAAGCACAGAGATTTGTCACTCGGCTTGCGCTTAAATGATTGATGCGTTTGATTGAATGAGAGCAGCAACAGTTTTATGCAAACAATGCACGCATGTGTGGTAAAATTTTCCAAATTTCGATTGAGAATTTCATAAATTGGCTTTACT